CAATGCAGAATTACCGAGTAAAGAGATGGAATTCCTTTTCCGGCATCTTTTAGGAAATAGACTGGTGGCAAAGAGTTGTAGTCCTTAGTGTACCAATCATCCAGTAGGGGCGCTGTCCTCGTGTCTCGACTCTTTTGGTTATGAAGCCACATCCTTAAAAGTTCGAACTCCTCGGCTGGTATTGAGGACTGAAGACAAGCCTTGCCGTACTTTTGACCAACGAATGCCTTCATAAAATGGAATAATTTTTTTTTTAATCATAATTTTTTCTTCTCGTTTTGGGGGGTGGGGTGTTATTCAGCGATTGTCACATATCGACATGCCAAAAAAATGAATTTACAAAAGGGAAGAAATTCCTGTTCAGGTATATGGCTACATGGTGTAAAACACCCATTCATAAACGAATCGTATGATTTTTCCAAGTTATAATATTTTGACGAATTTCTATGATATTTGGAGAAGGATTTTTATCAGGCCTTTGACCACCATGATATGACGTCTGGAAGCCAAGTTCAGAAAGTTAACGATACCCGTGCTCTAATTATACATCGAGTATGTGTGATAGCGGCATTGTTTTTGGCATAAGATTAGAGCAGAGTACACCAAGCTATTTGTATAGCCAGTGTCATTGGTAAAGATAATTGGAAAGGAAGGCAAATCAGCCAAAACTTGCGTTTCTACATTGTCTAAGAATTTAATATACGTATGTAGAAACGATACACATCAAAACAGATCTTTTCTCGAGCTTGGTTAAATCACAAGTCACTTATTGATGCTGGCGTTTATGTATATAAATTTGCCGTGCATGTTCACTCTAAAAATCTTGCAGAATATTATTTCATTAATCATGTGTTATTTACACATTCAACCCGTTAATGAATTGCTTTCACATAATACGCTAATTAATCTTTTAGAGATTAATCAATTATAACAGCTGTAATGTGTTTTTTAAATACCCCTAATTAGTCAATGGGAGATCAAGACGATAAAACAAACATAATACATAATGCACTCATAAGTTGAGTTCGCATATTTAATAAATCAGTAAACACTATGTGAATTTTTTTACTTACCAAAAAGCTTGGTCCTGCTGAGAGAATTTGACATCTTCGAAGTTCACGCAGCCTAAAGTCGTAAAACGTCTGGTCCAAATTGACAGTATTTGGGTCAGATCCCCAGTCTAGGTCCACCAGCTAAATTATAAAAACAGTAATTTTTAGACGGTTCGTTATGTTATTACAGTGCAACAATTGCATAGAAATGTTCAATAATAAATAAATAACAGTAATAGACAAATTGGTATTTTTCTTTATGAATTATTTTAAGTTATTTTCTTAAAATATCTTAATTATTCTTTAACATTGCTACGATTCATACATATTTTTATATATGTTTATCATAAATGTATGGGGGTTGGGGGTTGTAGGGGAGTTATTTAGTCTAAGAGTAGTGTTACCTGAAACTCCACCCCATATTTCTGTCGGCAATAATCTCGCAGCTCTGGATAAACTTTCTCAGCAATAGCATTTCTTTCGGTCACGCTGTCTATAAGACAAACACTCCATTTATTCCTGTGTCAATATTTATCATAAAACATCCTACCAACAATAACAAATGTAAAAACTCAAATATACGAAGATTGATTTAAAAATTAAACCGCACTTATACATGAATGCAACAATGACAAGGGTCTTTTGTTCCGTTAAAGAAAGCGAAATTTCACAAAGATTATACATGGGCACTTCAATGCTTTGTGGAACGTTTAAATATACTGTATTAAGATCGAAGTTTTTGCGTAAAATAATGGACAGAGATCAAAAGTTATCAAAACACGAAAGCTTTTCTCAAGCTTTAAATCTATTAAGCCATTTCAGTAAAAGATTAATAATGTAGCAAACATGTTATGTCAATCATAAGTTTCCATACACAAGCTAGTACAATGTATCATCTATCCAATGATGATAACCTCATTTTAAAATTATCTGCCTCTTTCCAATTGCAAAAACCATGTTCATGTAATTAATTAATTAATCAAACTTTCTTTACCTTCAGCCGCAGAGTTTAGAAAAATTCGAACTGTTCTCGCCGGAATTTCTGGTATCTGCTCAATCCGTGTGTGTCCTGTTAATAAATTTTTCGTCGCGTCATCCATCTTTATTCCTTTAAAACACTGTCTCTTTCACGGCTTCTAGGTTTCATCTTCACCGTTCCTCAATGCCGGTGCGATATTTCTCCATGCTGTGGTCACAGTGTTGACATTCTCACGATTATTGACAAGTTTCTGTACATGGATCATCGGTAACCAAGGACGCTAGGCCTGAGTATTTTAAAAATAGTTTTATAGCCAATCAGCCATATTTAAATGGCACAAACTATCACAACTGCTCAAGAGGAAACTTTAACTTGTAGTGGTCGATAAAAAAAATCTAAATGGATGAGATATCCAATGAAACACTTGTCCCTTTAAAAGCTATTGAATAAAAAAATAAAACGTGCGCAAATTCTTTTTTCTCCCATTCCACAAGGGTTATCTCATTTAGAAGCCAAAGTATTATAAGACCTTAAAGTTAAGGAACATTTTTAAATCACCAGATGATTTTTAACTTTTTGCTTTGTATGAATAAAACCTTTCATTATCAGGGACGAGCATCATACAAAAGTCTATTTAAAAAAAATATGCGAGGTAAATTAACGTTTATGGAGTTTTTGAAATTTTTGAAATTCATTTATATTTCTTCAATCTATGCAAACAAATTCTAAAGTATAAAATTCCACACACACCCTTCACACACACGACCAAACAACTTTTTTCTATTTAAAGATAACATAAATATTGAAAAGATACAATGAAGCGCATTGAAGTGGTAAAATTTTCCGTTTGATTGGAACGTTTTGAGATATCTTAAGACACGCCCATTTCTTTAGAAAGGAGATTCAATCGAATACCTGTAGAACAGGTATTCTATAAATATAATAGCCAATCAAATTGACGGTCTACATAAACACCGAATAAGCACGTGTTCGACCGATACATGTGTTTATGCTAACTCCAATAAACATGATAAAATCATAATTATGTACAAATTCGTTGCAATGCGTGTTTTACAAAAGCGGGGACACTCTATAAGTTTTTTCCTATTTAAAAATCTTTAATTTAGTGAAACTCATGTTGCTTGTCGCGGAAAGTGGGGTTTCCTAAAACATTATGATGAATATTTCTTTCTCGATTCTAAAGAAATGGGCGTGTCGTTATGTTATAATTGACGGTCAAAACATGACTCAGAACGTTTCATCCAAATGGAAAATTTTACCACTTCAATGCACTTCATTGTATTTATGTTTTAATTTCCGGAACTTCATAATCGGGGGGAGGGGGGCTAAAGTTTTAGCTAGGATAAGTATTTGTTAAGTTGCTTATACTGATGTGTGAATAGACAGTTTTGGGGACAGCAGGACCTGGTATGAGAACTTTTCATAATTAAACAATTGTGTTAATGGAAGATAAACTTTAAGTAGTTTTGTTCAATTAAACCCCTATTCACACAACGTCTAACAGGGTCTAACAAACCGGCCGGGGGTGCGGGGATGGGGTAAACGTTGCAACCCAAACAATTTTGCCGATATGTTAAGAAAATATGACTACTTTCTGATTGTACATGTACCTACTGAACACTACTAAAATAGTCTGATGATTTTATAGGAAATTTCTGCTTGGTAGTTCCACCTCAACCACCACCCCCATCACACCCCACCCCACCCCTAAAAACTTCCATTTCTTTCCATGGGCCCGTCCTTCTCTTCGCTTATTACTACATCAATTCTGTTTTACCTCTTGTCAACACTCAAATAAAGTAATTCACTTGCACGGTAAATATGATCTTTATACTGGAGCTATCTTATGATGGGTCCACCAGTCCAAATATTATTTTTTTCCCGCCCACACATATGAGGAATCGATTTCACCCCTTTTAATTTTCTTCAGTCTGCCAAATTCAGGATAAAACTCATTTCTGACGTATTTCATAACAAATAAAACTACAATTTGAAAAAAAAATCTGTAGAATTCGATTGAAAAAAATTGCAGGGACGGGAAAATTAAGGAAGAAATACGAAACACATGTCAGCCAGGACATTTGTCTTTAGTTTTTACTTACTTAAAATCACCAGAAATGACATCAGTAATTTTTTTTACGTCAAGAAGAATTTCGTTTACTCCTGTTCTTGAACGATTCTGAAAAAAAATTAAATATTTTTTTTGTTTATTAGAGTTACCGTCCTTTAAATTGAAAGATTATAATGTCAAGAATATTAATATTGCAATGTCAATGCTTGACAGTTAATGATTCACAATCTTCGAAATGGATTTTTTCCTAAATTTTTGTTGGCTACATGTACTAGCTTGGGACCTTTGTCTGCTAGTTAGTTCATGAAGAAAAAATGAATATACATTGACAAAGTTTTTCCTCGTAAATTCTTGGTTTGATATGCCTGTCGGAATTTCATAGGATATAAAACAGCTTGGTATTTTGTTTCTTGATAAATGACAATTTCAATCAATTTTGAAGAATCATGTAAAACTTTTCTCTCATCTGATCATTAAGGAAAGATTTTCGTGGGCGATATAGAGTTTGCATATCAAGAAGCTATAAACTTCTGATCAGTGTAAACATACAATCTTAGACAAAATATATATTTAACGCTGGTATCTGCAGAATCATGGAGCATTAATTCATCCATCAAAATTATAGATATATTTACTTTCATTTTACTTAAACATACAAGAATTATTTGCGATTCGTTTGACATATGTACGTAACCCTTCGTGCCTTGTATATACACACATATTTTAAGCATCGAAGAGGGCAGATCAAAGATTAGCTCTCGGGCCTTGTACTCAAGTTACAGAAAACCAACAATTGTCCCGTACATATAACATCTTTTTCATTACACAGGTTTTTCAATACGAATAGTTCCGTACATTTTCACTACTTTTTAATTTGTAGCTATAGGATTATCTATAGTTTTAATGGTTGTTATGGTTTTTCCAGAGACCATTAGCCATACGGTGAACAATGGACGCCCAATCTCGAATTTTTAACTACATACATAAAGTTTAGAGAGATCAAGTGCTATACCTATATTGCCGTTTTCTTTCTTTTCCGCCAGTGAACCCAGAAAAAAAACGATTCGGCTAAGAATGTCCATGATTTTACCCAGTAAAGACAGGCATATTGATAAAGAGGCCAACATTTCATTTACACGCCGATGTTTCTTTTTTGTGTATTGTAGTATATTTAGTGTCCCACTTGGATAAAACACAAAAAACGCCGAGATCGAGTGCAACACATTAAGATTTCTATCCGATACTTAGCATTTGGAAATAACATCGTATAGATTAAAAATGAATCTTGAGTTTATCGGATCTATTTTTATAATTTATGGACGCTTCCTTCTCTATGCATTCTCTTCATCAATGGAATCTCCGGTGAGAATATCGCAATCTGGGAAAATTCGCGGACGAATAACTGAGCGCGTAGCCGGATTTCCCGTAGAGGAATACCTAGGAATTCCATATGCAGCCCCGCCAATAGGAGCAAACCGATTTCAGGTATTGTCTGTTTGTTTGTTTGTTTGTGTTAATTTATTTTGTGTTTCGTAATTGCCTCGTTAACTCAAGATTGCATGCTTATAGAAATAGCGATGTGATAGAAGGAATTGTTTTTGGCAGAAACGTAACGCCTTGAGTGGAAACAAGAAGTGCCTACCTACTTATTTTTCCTTCCACTTAATTAATGCATGATAAGGGTATATATAGTGATTAAACTTTGAATTAAGATCAGGTTCATGCTAAAAGTTAAGTAGTTAGCTAGAGATCTTTTTACTATTGAATTCGACCAAAAATAAAGAATTAAATCAAAAGTTCTAATTATTTATCAAAACGTTAATTTGCTTTTTAAGTTTACCACGGAAACCCGTGTTTTATATTAGACCTCATAGATGTATTTTTGGCAGCAGGAATGAGGGGTGAGGGATGGAGAAGGTTCCATAATAATGTCTGAAAACGCTTCTCTTTTTTAAAGGAATTTTTTGATTGGTAGTGCATTCCTGAAAATTTTGGTTACGACTTACCGCCTCTTCTGTGGGCATTGTATTTGATATTGTGCATCAATACTTTTTAATTTGTATTTATTTAACTTTTATTTTTATTATTTCTTATTTATTTATTTTTTTGTAAAATCTTCTGAAATCTGAATATCTTGTTAATTTTACTTTAAAAATTTGTTTTTTAGTTATTTTAAATTTTATTGCAATGACTGAAAAATATGTTTAAGTTTGCAGCGATTATTATTATATATACAGGTTAGGTATATAAGATCTATTTTAGAGAGTAAAATGAAAATGCAAATAAACCATTTTGATAAGTTATTAACAGACAACTGATCAATGGAGTTTTTATGTAAATTGTTTGTGCAGTGTATTTAAAATAATGTAATAACATTTTTTAAGGAAAATCAATGAACAGTTAAAATTATAAGATATTTTTATTTATTTAGTTCTAGATCTTTCCTTCATTCCTTCTTTCGTTCTTTAATTATTTACTGACAATTAATTTTTTTACCTTAATTATTTATTTTCATTTATTTTACAGAGACCTAGGGAACACGTCCCATGGACAGATACATTGAATGCGACAAAACTTCCCCCGGCTTGTTATCAAGGAGAAATTAATGCAGGATATATAAAACTACACATGCCGGAGTTTGATATGAACTATCAAAATGAGGACTGCCTATTCCTAAATATTTATGTACCAAAGGTATCGTAATTATTGTCTTTGTCAGTCTGATCAGTATGTACCCTGCACGATCTCTATAAGTATTTAAAGTAAGATTTTATTTCCTCATCTCATTAAGATAAGTATACTGTACTCATATGTCTATAATTATAAAACGAATAAAAAGTTTATAGACAGCAAGAGGGCATGGAGACAGGGTCGTTCAAAACTCGAGTCTAGTATAATTTTGCAAGTGCATGTAGGCTCTAAAGTGAAGCTTCCCCTTTGGGTAGACTAAATTTCTCTTTACTTTTTTAATGAGGGGGGGGGGGTGGCTCTGGAGAAGAAATATGGCTTCTCCATAGGGTGAAATGCTAAATCTAGAACAAGACTTGGAGAACCTTGAACGCCGGTTTAAATTCACATCAGAGTATAAACATGCTAAAAAATATTTTCCAAGGTTTTCAGTTATTAATTTTAAGTGATAAATTAAATCTAAATATCTAAAATTTGCTTACCTTCACCATTTTATTCCTCCCGTAATATTTTGAGAATATAACGTCACAAAACTGACGTCATAATTGATATATCGTCATTGACGTCAACTCTGGAATCGAGCCTAGCTGTCAATCATGAAAAAAATCGTACAGATCTATATCTTTGTCAAATATTGTGATATTTTCATATTTCATTTAAAGATACCTCAAAACTGATTTTCCTCCATAACCTTAAGTTTGAAATCGTGATGAAGCCTTCTTAAAAATTGTTTCAGTCTTTGGAAAAGAATGTTAGCTATGCAGTTATGTTTTACATTCATGGCGGATCCAACAGAGCAGGGATGGGTGCCATGTTGCCGGGAGACATACTGGCTGCCCATGGACAAATCATCGTCATCAATTTCAACTACAGATTAGGTCTTTTAGGTATTGCTTATATCAGTCAATATCCGAGTATTTAAAAATTTATAAGTTTCCGATGTCAAAGTTATACACAACAACGTTTTGCTTATTTTGAAGGTTTTCTGTCTTCACCCCAACACAACTTTACTGGAAACAATGGACTTTTAGACCAAGTTGCGGCCATGAGATGGGTTCATTCTAACATTCATTATTTTGATGGGGATCGGGATCGAATCACTATTGCTGGTCACAGCGCAGGCGCAGGAGACGTTGGTCTTCACTTAGTATCACCACTCACCAAAGGTTAGTTTCAAAATCTAGGGAAATTTACGATATCTTTGAAAAAAATAAATTTCTATAAATTTGTTTCACATTCTGAGGGATTTATATTTGGCCAATACTTTATAATTAATGTATAAGCATTGTGATAAATCCTTTTTCCTTTTTTCTTTTTAAAAGACATCTATGATAAGTCATTCTTGAGCACTGAAAACGGTAAAACTGAAAATGTATTATTATACCTCTTTATAAATATTCTACACAACGTGTTATCTGATTGGTTCTAGGTTATCACGTGATCGGGCCGAAAAAATAGCCTAATTTACGTCACAAATTTGATTTTTTAGCACGGCCGTCGAGCACGCTTTTTATCATAAAGTTCCAAAAATATAGTTCCTCTTTTTGAGATAATACAAACGCTAAATAAAGCAACAAAAATAAAATAAGTTTTATCCCATTAGTAGTATTTTCAAACTTTATAAGCAATATAGTTTTTTGATAATCTTGTTCGTTTCTCTACACATACGAGGTAAAGCAGGAGAAAACTGGCCTGTTTGTTTACATTCAGCTGCGGTACCAGATTAACGTCACAATAGCCTAATTTACGTCACAAAATTGTCATTGATGATTTTTTAAAAATGTGTTGACCATAGGGTTTTATAGTAACTTTACGTAAAAAATGAAAGTGAATTTGAGAGGGGTGCCAAATTTGAAAGTTTATGTTTATTTCAAAGGTTTTGCTTTTTTCGGTATAATAAACAATTAATTGCATGAATGTTCGGGAAACATGAAGACTTATTCAGCCAAGAAATATCATATTCATGATTTATACATATACATGATTTTTTTCTTGGCTGAATAAGTCTTCATATTTCCCTCACTATCATGCAATAAATGTATAATATTCACATGTTTAAAAAAATGCATTTCATGTTCATAGAATCATTTTTAAGTCTCTCTAGTTATGCTTTTTTAATGTGTTGGTGACGCTATTACTGTGGAAGTTTTGCTACATATATTGCTACAAAAATATATATATTTATAATACGTAATAAATACGTAATGAGCTTCAAAAAGTATATGAAGCCCTGATGTTGATAAGAATGAATTATTTTTTTATTGGTTACTTCAGGTTTGTTTAGAAATGCAATCTTAATGAGCGGATCACCATTAGCACACTGGGCAATGGCGTCACCAGACCAATTCCCCGGATCCAATATCAATGCCACAATTCTGCAGTATGCACTAGATGTAGCAGACATCAGAACAATAGATATCAAAGATATCAAAGCTATTGAGATCATATTTTCTACGGTAATTTGTAGTTACATTGCTCTGTTAGTTTAATTTTAACTTGCAAACTACCCATCCGCAAACATTTATTTTTTTGTATTTCAGTCAACTTTTGTAAACATGTTTTCACTAATCTGTTGTAAAATTGTAATATGCAGTCGATTACCTCTTTTTTATTGCAGTTATTACCATTCAGTGTTGTTCCATATCCTGCTGTTGTAGACAATTATTTTCTAACAAAATACCCGAGATCCTCTTTTCAAAATGGCGATTTCCATGGAAACAAATTTCTTGTATCCTTTACTGCAGACGAAAGTTTTGGACCGCTTCTGGGTGAGCCGTCATAGCAGATGTAATTTTAAAATATCTTAAATTGAGAATTATACTAATATTTTCCTTTGTGCTAACACAATAAGGATACCCCCATGCTAATATGATTTCAGTTCTCTATTATATTTTTAGGTCCAGACTTTAAAATAGATTTTCCGGGTTACCTAGTTCGATATGAACCATTTTATCCCACAATTTGTAATTTTAAAGGTAAGAAAACAGATAAAGGTCTTGATCATTATATTTTTCTTTGTTTGAGGTCATTTTTTACGGAATCTGGTAGTTGTCGAGTAAAAGAACAATTGTATGGGCGGCTGCGTGGACCTACCGGATTCCGTATATGATACATGTATCTGCTTTTTGTTTGAAAAAATAAAGGAAAAACCAGTGATCAACATATTTTTATCTGTAGACACCCTCATATCTGTGTACAGTGACATCGAAGATCCAGGGAGGAGGTTGGTTGAGGTACCTCTAGAAATATACTCAGATTTATATATTTCTTCAGAGCTCAAAATATGTAATTGTAACTTTATCATTTAAAGGGGTCCACATATGAGACTATAATTCTAACATTCTATTGATGATATCTCATATAAAAATAATTTTACTGCTATTGCTTGAATCATAATTAAAACAATCATGTAGAGAAAAGGCCTTTTCGCTCGAAAAAAAAACATACTTATTTAAATTAAAATCAAACCATAAGTTTAGGAGATTTATTCAAATTATAACCTGTATTGGCAGGCTGAAGCAGACATGTTATTTTATGCCAGTATCATAGAACTGTCCGATCTCCTCTCGGACTCCGATGTCAAACCGGAAGTCAATGTTTTTGAGTACGATATCAAAATGCCAAAACCCAATCAAGCTAACTGGGAAGGTTTGTTCAAATTTGAAGCATCAATATAGGGAATTTATTATAGTTAGATACGATTACGACTCTAAACAAGCTGCATGAGAAAAGTAAGGACAAATGTTAGGGTGCCAAACTGTGCTAATAAGTCAACCCTCGTTATCTCGAACCCAATGGGACTAAGAAATCCAAAGGTCCAAAATATTGAGATTAAATTACATTAAGAAAACGTTGTTTGGATTTTCAAATCATTTCGATATATCCATAATATTCGAGATATCAGAGTTCCAGATAACGAAGTTGAACTGAAGTAATTGAAGCCATTTTTGTTAAATTTACAAAACTGATTGTGTTCTATGGTGTAACAGCTGTGGACCATGGAGAGGACATATTTTATCTGTTCGGAATACCTCTGATAGGCAGCACACTTCAAAATTTTACCGAGAAAGACATCGAAGCAAGCGAATTGGAAATGACCTTATATAGCAATTTCGTCAAAACAGAGTAAGCACACTTTTCTGGAATTTACTATAATTACTATCGAATAGTTCCATTTATTGGGTGAGGATAAAGCATAGTTGATATTTTAAAATGTATGAACATTAAATAAGGCAGTAAAGGTAGCAAAAATGACTCAAACTAGTTATCTTGTCTTATTTTAAATATTTGTTTCTATGGTAATGTAAAATGTAAACGCGCATATTGATGAAAAATATTATTTTAAAAATATATCTTAAGTTTAAATCAATTTTAGATTATTTTCAATGGATGGTTTAACAAGATTGGGCAGGTTATACAACGAACAGCATCGGTCTTACTGCAGAATGTATTTTGATGGTAATAATGTTACCTTTGGGCATTTCCAAAATTTTCGAAAATCAAAGATGGAATTTTGGAACGAAGTGGAGGAAAAGAAACAAACTTCCTGTGATAAAGCTTCAAAAGCAAATAAAAATTATTTTGATATATATTTTTTATATTCATTGTATATTACCGTTTTGTTTCTGAAGTATATTGTTCAATAAAAAAGAAAAAGATAAATATATTATGTCTTCCTAGTCATTAAGGCGACCTACTAGGATTGGTCATTGTTCGTAGTCATGGATTGAACATCATTTTTGTTCCAATTACAACTGAATATTTAAACTTCTTCTTGAAAACTATTTGGCAAACTGTTATTAACTCCTTACAAGTTACTGAACTGTTACATGTATGCCGCATCATTGGCGGATCCAGAGGGGGGGTTCCGGGGGTTGGAACCCCCCCTTTATTTTTGTACAGAGAGAGAGAGAGAGAAAAAAAAAAGGGAGAGATTTTTTCTTTTCCCCGATATTTTTACTTTAATAATTTGAAAGAATAAAAATCTCTGTTTTCTGCTTGCTAAGTTTTTCGCGTATTTAATTTCCTTAACATTTTAACAACATTATAACTGTGACATGTATTTTATGAGATTTATACCATTTTTGGACCATCTTCAGAAGTAACTAACTTTTCGAAGTATGCATAAAATATTTTTATTCAAAGAAGAGAAAGTTTTTGTTCCCGTAGTATGCATATGAAGGGGGGCTCACTTTTTCTGAGAATAATCTTTTGCGGTAGTTTTAATTAATATTTTGATATGGAAGCTCCCTTCACATTTTATTTTTGCATTGCCGGAAAATACGCAGATTCAAGCATTTGTAAGTAATTAAAAAGAAAAGGAAGAGTGTGTATATGCGTTACAATCACTGTTTTTGACATAAATGTAGCTATATGGACTTGAAGTGGCCGTGGTGTGATTCTATGCATGAGAGCTGGGGCACCGACCTGGAACCCCCTCTTTCAAAAATTGCTGGATCCGCCCCTGCGCATAGACTTAATGTTCTCGTTCTAGAAATTTGACGTTACCTTTTCCCCGCTAGCACTTTATAGCGCGGTACAAGTTTCTCTAAAGTTTAGCGTAAATAATATTACGTAACATTTTAACAACATTATAACTTTTCTTATTTTATGAGATTTAAACACGTATAAAATGAAAGGGAATTGGCATTAAATTGAAGATTAAATGTAATTGTGAAAGTGCGTGATTGCGGAGAAATGGTACATGTATTGTTTATATTTATATCTGTTTAAATAATCATTTAAAGAAGGATTAAAAAGTTTAATTATTGTATAAATGATGCGAACGTCTTTACACGTTTCATTGATGGAAGGCCACTGATTAAGAAATATAAAGCATGTCATGGCTTATATGAATGCGTTTGATATTGATTAATGCACTCTCGGGGCGCTAGGAATGATGAAATATATGGAGATAACGTGCAGTAGGCTCATAAGTTCAATAAACAATCAGAACAGGAGCAGAGCAAACACGGACCTCTGAAACATGCCGTTGGATCAGGTGCCATGGAGGAGTGAGGAACTGAAAAAAATCTACTAAAAATTAACTTTTTCAAATCTTCCTCGACTCCCACACATTTTACAGAAAAACTGATTTTATGTAAGAAAGTAATCTACTAAACTTTATAATGACTTTGACAGCATTTCTGTCACTAAGGTCAGGAAGTGATGGTCATAAAGTGAAAATCTTACATTTAGAAAATCATTTTTATGAATGCATGGTGTAGAAGAGCTGGAAACTATACCAAACCGGGCGGGCTAGTACTAATTAAAATAAATTACATGTACATTCGTAAAAATCTGTATTTACTATTTAGAATGGGTATGTTTGCATGATCATAGTGAAACAGCTAGCAATTCTATCAAAAAGTAATGAAAAACAAAATTCATGTCTTCCTGATTAAAAAATCTCGAAATTGGGCTAAGATTGTCCGATTTATGTGTTTATTTAATTTCTTTTATTAATGTACCAATTAAGTTCGGCCAAGATGAGGTTCCCTTGCTAATTCTTGAAGTATGACGATAAAAAAGGTAGTCAAGTTCAAAAGTCAAATAACAGAGGTGGGATCAGGTGCTATAAAGGAGTAAACATCCCTCGATGTCCAGTCATACATGCCGTGTGCTTCTTGTCATGATCGGGCAACAGTATGTATTTAAGTGTATGGAGATAACGAATAATGTTCAAGCTCGAAAATCTATAACATACTGCAAAATTGGAACAGAGCAAACACGTACTTCCAAAATATCAGAGCCCGCCGTGTGCTCCTTGTAATCCTAAACAAAATCTTACTTAAGTTTACTATATTTACCTAAACTAAATAATTTGATTTACAATGAAACTTCATTCTTTTTTTAAGATTTAGAGCTTTTACATTTCTTAGATCACATAGCAATGATGTTATGTGAAAAAAGGTATATGTAAACATACAAAAAATAATGTTTATTAAGATCAGGAAATAACTTGTAAAAAAAAATTAAAATATATCGATCTGAAATTCATAGTAAAGAAAACTTTTATTTACTAAAGTGAAAACTTTTATTTACTATAGTTAGCTATTGTAGACTTAAGTACTTTTTGCTTTGGAAATAACGGAAAATCCGTTGACAATACAGAATATGTCTATAATGGCCTAATAGTTAGTATGAAAAACGTCAGTCAGCATTTGACTTAACAAAAAACTGTATTTGCTGACTTCCAAAGTCCATTGTAATACCTTGTCTTATCTTAGAAATTATTAGAAATTAAGGTTACTTACATTAACACAAACAAAACTTTGATGCATGGATTGATATATGTTTTTTATTTGAGTTTGATTTGAAAAGACATACATAAAAAATTCCTTAAATATAATGAAATCGTAGGTTTTCCTTGGTGCTTAGAGATGAGACTGTTTTGCTTTCTATATAATTCCATACAAAATTTTGCACAATTATTTAACCTTATGACAAAATCTATAAAAAAAAAACTATCCCACTATACTTGGTGAACATTATTCAGGTTACGAATTTAAATGTAAATCTATGAGAAATATTGCTGATTTCTGAGAAAAAGTTTGTGTTATTTATCCTTAAAGCATATATAATATAGACATAAACCCCATATTTAGGTTATGAGGATAAGTGACTACATAATTTATTTCAATTTTGTTGTTAGGTTACGGTAATGTCTTTTTCAAAATAGTTTTCAATAATGAAATAGATGTGTAAGGCTCTGTGAAATTCTTTCACTTTATGATACACGTGATGACTTTAACTTTTCTATCGTCAATTTCCCTTATTTATGCAGCAATATACCTTCATCACCTGCACAAGGTGTTTGTATTTCTCAGTTGATTCGATACGCAAGAGCATGCTGTGCGTATGTGCAATTTCTAAAACGAGTAAATTATTGACAAACAAGTTGATGAAACAAGAATATCAGCTGTGTCGTTTAAAGTCAAACTTTCGTAAGTTCTATGGTCGATGCATGGACGATGTCAGCAAATAAAATTTAACATGGAGTCAAATGCTGACTGACTTTCTTCATACCAATTGTTAGTCCATTATTTACACACTGAATTGTCGACAGATTTTTCCTTTATTTCCCGATCATAACAAGGAGCACACGGCGAGTGTGACAGTTTGGCACTGGATTCAAACTCTTCTATGGCGCCTGACCCACCTCTGATGTCTTGGAGGTCCATGTTTACTCTGCTCAAATTGTGTACTGTTTAATTGACTTTTGAGCTTGAATACTGTTCGTTGTCTCCATATATTTTATCCAATAAACAGTATTCATTCAACTGGTAATTTACATTTAATCTTTGCAAAAACCATTCGGACAATTTCCAAACTTAAATCAACTTGCATTAATGTAGTTTTGAAAGTGATCTTTTATACAGTTACAAATCAATACATGTAGTATAGAATACATTTTATATTTCTATATTGACTTATTTGCGGAATTCAGTTTGACTTAAAAAGAAACTTTGTTTAAAACTGAAAAGAATATTAGCAGTAAATGAGAAAACTTAATAAAATTGATTTTATTAAAGATGTTCTTTTGTTTCCTTGACAACAGTCATCATTTCAAAATTTTAAATGCAACATGTACATGTATAAGTTATCATTTTGCTTATACGTTCTGTAATTTCAGTTCAATCCATAAAAAGCTCAAGTAAACAAAATCTAAAAAATAATTATTATATCCAACTGAACTTCGTTCAAAGTAGAGTAATCTAAAATAGAAACCACAGAAGATAGAGAAATTTTAAAAGTACTTTTTCATGTAGGTCTTCTTTTATATTCTCTATCGAAATATGTTCAGGTGTGTATAGATGACCAAATAAACACCTCTTTTAAAAAAAATTATTAAAATAAATCAAGCTAAAAAAAAAATTAACTTGATTTATTTTAAGTTTAAATATAAATCGATTTCTATAGTTTAAGATACAAAGTGTTTTCTTATTGTGATAATGATATCTCTGTTTAAGATTTACAAATACACATATCTCTTTTTATTTAAGTATGATTAATGTTTGAAATGAGATACAAACGTGTGATTAGTTTATTCAAAGTCCATCAATTACTATAGCTTTATTTTTAACTGCTGTGTTTACATTTCCTTTTTATTTTTAAGATTTAAAACAAGTTTTTCTACCACAGGAGCTTTGTTTCATCTTATACAAGTAAAATAAATTATACATTATGTATTGCCTACGCCGCTAAATGTATTGACTAAATGGACTCTCGGTATTTATGGACAAAAATATTATACCGCATCAAGATTATCTTAAGTCGGTGAAAAGGCATAGTGTGTTTTAACTTTCCCAGCAACGTCAGACAATTACTTGCTGACATTTTGTTCCTGTGATCTATTTTAAAATACAAGATATATATAAAAAAAAAAAACACACACACACACATACATAAAATGACCTTTGTTTATTCTGAGGATACTATACAATGATAGTCATTAAAATGACTAATATGAAAATGATGATCATTTCATTTGCCAACTGATTAGCACACGACAAGAACACGTGTTAAACCGATAAACTTTGTTCTTGTCGTTACCTAGACAAAAGTAGTTTGGAATCCATTAAAATCACTATTATATAGGAAAAAAGTACGTATGCTGAAGTCTCAGGATCACTAGATTTTGAACAAGTGTTTCCTCGTCTTTTTCAAATCTCATTTATTTAAAATTGTTGCACTTGCATCTATTACATGTACTAATATCTAAAAATAGCCGGTGGGTATTTTCATTGTAACACGTGGGCTTAGATTACTCATGCTGGGTATATAACCGAGAATTATTCATCTTTCAACATTTTAGTGACACAATGTCGAAGATGATGCTGTTGAAATTTTGTTGCATGTTTTTCTGTATGTCAGTTGCTGCACGTAGTCCCGTGCAACAAATTGAATATCTGAACGCTACGTTTCCTTGTGGAAAATTGAGTGCTGAGCAGAAGTGCAGAATCCCGTTTGAATACTGTGACGTCATCTTGGAATCTTGTCTGGCATGTAACGAGGACATCTGCAAAGAAGAATCCCAGCAGAGCTGCAACATATTTTGTTCCGGTTGGTAAAATCTGTTTCCAGCACAATTTGTTTTCTCTATTAGGGAAAAACATAGTGAACACAGTTGCTTTCCTAAAAAAATTAATTTCTCACCTTTAACCACCACCCTTTATTTGTGACAATATATAATAGAAAAAAATACTGAATTGAATATTGCTGATTTTTCCATTAAAATGGTTAATTTTAAATTTTACCCGTGTTCTGAAATTCTTTGTATAGATAAGAGGGGCCGCTAGGGAGGTTACTCCTTGTTTTAGACTGTATTCCAAAAAAATGCACATTATTTAAGCCTTGAGTAATTAAAAAGAAGGGAAATTTATTAGAATGTACTACATGCTTACATTATTATTAAGCATCCTTTGAAAAACAATGTCTCTGCTACTCTTTAATGTTTCTACGACTTTTCACTTAGTCCAGAATTATTTTTGGTAACTTTTTAATGGACAATTAGTATATATAACAATTTCTTTCGTAGATTTCAAAACAGAAGAAAATGGAAAACACGCGGAAACGGAATCTCACAAACATGTATCTTTAAATCAAACGTCCTTATACGGTAAGGAAAACGATAAAATTTTCTCTTTTTTTCTTTAAACATTAAACGTGTATATGCCTGAACATTCACTAGGTTAAGTTTTTATTTATTTCAGTGGCCATTATTGTTGCGTCGATCTTCTTCGCGACGACAATTCTTTGCCTTCTGTATATATGCCACCAGCGATTTTCAAAGAAAAACAACGCAACGTGAGTTGATGCTCGTGCTTCCGGAATCTGATAATTAACAAACAAACGCAATCTAAGAGATTAGAATTGATGCAGCATGATTAAATTTAAAATATAATACTTTAAAAAATACTTGTTTTTAAACTTAAAACTGATATAACCACATCTTGAACGACTTGACATCTTATTTCCCCAAAACATGGAGAACCTCTTGTTGAGTCAGAATGTTCGTTATTGATATCTCTGGTTATTGGGGTTTCTTTATTTGGCTTATTTAACCAAAAATGGTTTACATTTTGCAATTTTGGCTTTAACTTGTAAATACAAGAGGCCCATGGGCCACATCGCTCACAAGAGCATATTGGCTAGAAAAAGGCACAAATCAGTTAAGTAGTGAAAAGTGGGACTTGAATTTTAAACTTTCTATGAATACTTCCATATCAATAACAATGGCTTTACTGTTCTTGAATAGATTATTTCCAATGTACACCTTTGTAAAAATTTCATCCCCATTGTGGTACCTCCCTACCCTTGGAGTCATGATTTGAACAAATGTGAATCTATATAATCTAAAAATGCTTCCATATCAAAACTAAACTATGGGCTATCCATTCTATAGAAGAGGTTTTTTTCTATGGATTGCTATAAAAAAAAACTTTGATCGTTTATTGTGGTCCACCCCCCTACGGCATGATTTGAACAAACTTGATTCTAAACTCACTGAGGAAACTTCCAGTCATGGCTTTGCTGTGCTCCAAAAAAAGATTTTTAAAAACATTTCTATATATTCTTATGTAAAAGTTAAATTTTTTTGTTGTGGACCCGTCCTATCCCCAGGGGTCCTGATTTGAAGAAACTTGATTCTACACTATCTGAGGATGCTTCCACATAAGTTTTATCTGTCCTGGTCCAGAGGTTCCTGAGAAGAAAATTTTTAAAGATTTTTCATATATATTCCTATGTAAAACTTTGATTTTTTGTTGTGAAGGTTGTCAGTCATCTGAAATACTGTACCAGGTCGTTCAAGATGTGGTTATCACAAAATGTTAAGCTCAGATAACAATGTGCTAGATTAAACAATTTAAACTTTCACTATTGTTCAATTAAACAGATCTTAAATAAACACTTTATTTGAACTACCATGGTGTATCACTTTGTACTGCAGTGTTCTAGGGTCTTAGTTTTAATAATCGTTCGATTATCTTGTTTTTCTTTTGATTATTGTTTTGCTTCTTTATATAGGCCCGTGATTGCACAACCAACAGACGATAATAATAGTAACCTATGAGACTGGAGCACATTGTGGTGATCTTAAAATACTCTTGAAATACTTCCTCGAGAATGATCCATACTTCTAGAAAAATCCTTCTTGCATCCAAATGCTACCGAAACATGGCTGACATATTGCCGACTCGGCGTTAAACAATCAATCAATAAGTAACCTACGTGAAGACAAGAGTCTTTAAAAACGCGAGAGAATCTCTTGGAAAACCATATCTCTTTCGCTTCCTTCTGAAAGAATTCAAATATCATTTTAATGTTATCTTTATATCGTTTTATCATAACGACATACTTTTACTACTATGAGATGATTTTCCTTTCTTTCAGTAACAAATTGTTACAATTAATTCATAAAAAGTGATTTATCTTTTGTATTCTTTCATGCATTTAGTCTTGAACTGAAGTTTTCAAGACAAAAATTCAAAAATGTTTATATGTTATTTTATTGTTATTGTTTATTTTGTTATTGTTATTGCTGTAGTTGTTATTCTCCTATGACTTTACTCGTTTACCTGTTTATTTAGTATGATTGAAATAAAAAATCCAATGTTAACATTTCTCTTTTTTATTCTTATCTACAACGGATCCTGCATAAATATTGTAAAATACTGCATATTGAATAAAATTCTTCACGTTGGTGATTAAAAATAATGCTTTGAAGAGAACAATTGTAAAATATTTTGTTTATGCTGTATATTGTAAAATACACCTTTAATTCACATACACAATAATTTACCTTTTCATCACATACACTGAGTCTTGTCGAAAGTAAAATTATTTATTGAAAAAAAAAGATAACAAACACTGACAAATCTCATAAAAATCATACAAATGAATACAAATATGTGAACAGGGCATGTTAAAGAAATTCTGGAAATTCCAAAGGTAGGATACGTTGGCTTAGAGGAGTAAGCATTCCCTGTTGACGCTCACATCTGCCGTAAGTCCTGTGTATTGATCAAGAAGATATAACTTTCTGCAGTCAAATATATTTTTGAAGTAAGACTGGATCTAGTTATATATTGGCCAGTCGTTACTGACAACACATAGCAACTATGAATACCAGGATATAAAATAGACCACAGGTATATCAATCGTTGTGTGATTGCAGGTAGATTTGTCAATTATGTTTTAATCTGTAGAAAAAAAACACTTGAACAATAAAAGTCAGAGACATACTAAATAAAGCAACAACTGTATTTGATTGTTCATGTTTTTTTAAATAAACACATAAAGACGATGCAATGCTAAATTGGTACGTGTCATTAATTTCCTGAACAATAAAAAAATTAATTCTGCCTTAAAAAGATATGACAAGGAACGATAAATATTTGTATTTTGTAGCAAAATATTTTAAATACCTTATACCTTTAAGATTGTAAATATATATATATATATATATATATAAAAATATAGATAAAAATAATGAAACATTTGCATGTTTTACTTAACTTTGACATGGTTTGAATACTTTAAAACTAAGAGGTGTAAAAGTGTTGTCATTATTAGTAATAATGTGGTGAAAATTTTATCTGATTTCAGGTCCCAAAAATTTCAAATCGTATCCATCTTCTAAAAAAAATAGGTTTGATAGTTTAATTTCTTGGTCATTCTCATTGAGATATATTTTCCTTCGAAAGAAATATCAACAGATTATATATAGTTATCTACAGGTGTTATTCTGTACATACACATGCGATCTTACAATCTATTATGTTTATTTAATTATGACATATAAAGATTCACTCGTGATTATTAGTGATGCACCCATATAAAATCTATAAATAGTTGTGACATCATATAAAAAAAAATGGATATTTATGATGCAATACAATAAATAAAGAAATTAAAAACTACTAATCGACTCAATACATCCTAGCCTTCCAACTAAAATGAAATCTTGCATAATACGAGGGCTGTTCAATAAACAATGTCCTGAACTGTTGACATACAATACAGATATCATATGACATTAAAGTTGACCTTTTCGCATTATTGAATCTTTAATGAATTGATAACAAATTATGTGGCTACTTTTCATCACATAGTTTCATTGTGAGAAGCTGGAAAACAAGGGCTATTCGAGACACTGCATAAAAAATGAATGGTAAAGAATCGGTAAACTAGAGTGAAATTAAACGCTTCATTAAAGCTGCTGTAAAACTCTTTAATAATCCCGAAGAAATATTCTCTGAAATATGTAAAATTTACGGCAACCAATGCCTGTTTTATAGACAAATGAGAAGGTGGATTTCAATGGTTAAAAATTATGTAATGGGCATTAAAAATGGTTACCGTCCTTGCTAACAAAAATATAATCTAACTAATGCACTGTTTGCCAATTTCAACAAATAATCACTGATGATGTATAATTGACTTAAAGACGCATAACAAATTTGATAAACATCATTTCGGGAGTAGTTCACACTGTTTTAAAGAAACGTTTGACAGTAAAAAAGCTTAATACTCAAAGGTCACCCTATGTTTTGAAAAATAAGTGAAAACGACAGCGTGTAAAAATATTTGAACATTTATTCTAAAATATCAGTAATTGTAGATATCCACGTTTGTTTGAAATTCAAACAGATAATGAAACTTGAATTTATTGCTTAAAACCCTAGAAACAAAATTTACAATAAGATGTACTTGACAAAAACAGCAAAGATCTGAGAAGAGCAAAGAATTGCAAGAGCACAAAGACAGATTTATATGCAATTTTCTTAAATATTAGGGGTCTTGTATAAATTCATATTCAGGGAGGTAGTTTAATTTCTGGAAGAGTCTAGAAAGCAAACTTTTTGCAAAAAACAATGAAAGATTAATGAGAGGAAGGAACCAGAATCAGGAATCTACTACATTAAATTTCTTCATGACAGCGTCCAAACCCACACGCCCTGAAGAGTAAGGAGTTTTTGAGATAAACAGAAAGTTAATTGTTTTTCACATTAACAATATTCACCAGACCTTTCGCCTTTTGACTTGTTTCATTTTCCAAACTTGAAAAAAAACACCTTTCAGTAGGAAGAAGCGAGTCCTGGAAATCATGCCTTAGTACTATAGCTGTGATTACCGGTATTATACTTTTAGTTGTAATTTGCAAGATTCGAAAAACAAGAAAAGGGACAACTGACACGGAACTAAACAATAGCAGTAACGATGGAAACACACCACAGTAAGTACACAAACATCCTTAAATTGAAAAAAAAACCCTCAGAATTGCAAAACGGGAAATTATTATGAATAAATATGTTCCAAGATCATAAAGCAAGAACAAACAACCAATACTTCTTTTGAAATAGCTTTAATAGTGAAACACACTTTTCATCATATATTTGAATTGAAGTGTTATACAAAATTGAAAATACACATTGAAATATAACCCAGGTATTAAAAACCAAAATTTTGAATCAAGTCTGAATTTTGATTATCGCCTTGAGGACAGATTTTTTAATATATTGTAGCATCCCACCCCCCTATAACAGACAAGAGTCAATCGATGCATTTATGATTCCTTTAGGTACAGAAAGACATGTGAATACTTAAATATGCCATACTAGTATATTCAAAATATTTTATTTCAATTTTTTTGCGAGATAGCATAGGGGCATAGACCTGTGATAAATAGATAATTTTGTTCGCGATAATAAAACACACCTATTTTTTTTTTTTGCCGATTTCTTTGATTTAAAATGTCAATTGTCAAAATATCTTTCAATAAATTGAAATAGTTACATTTTCCTCTGTATTCTCTAGGTAATGAATATGTCTGAAAATGAAACAAAAGGGAACACATTTGCAATAATATTTAGGACACCAAATCGTGCATTCGTTGGTCTACGAGGGCTGTTCAATAAATAATGTCCTCGGTGCCCGGAAAGAAACAAAAGACGCTTTTCAATGATTTTGTCTTCATTATTTTACTTGTTAATCTCTTTTAATTACAACACATATCCGTAACCTTTATTATCCAATTTCTGATTGATTTTAGAACTCATTTTTGGGTATGACCCTTGGTATACTGGAAAATGGCAGATCCAATGATTTCCTGGACTTGTTTCTTCCTTATCAAAAGTGTTTTTTTTTTTTCAAGTTTGGAAATAGAAATAAGTTAAAGGGTCAAAGATCTGGCGAATATTGTTAATGTGAAAAAATATTAACTATCTGTGCATCCCGAAAACCCCTTTACTCTTCAGAGCATGCGGGTTTGGACGCTGTCATGAAGAAATTTAATGTAGTGGATTCCTGATTCGGGGTTCTTCCTCTAATAAACCTTTATATTTTTTGTGCAAAAAAATTGTTTTCTAGCCTCATCCAGAAATTAAACTGTCTCTCCGAATACGAATTTGAACAACAATACCACTAATATTTAAGAACATTGCATATAAATCTCTTTGTGCTCTTGCAATTCTTTGCTCTCGCCAGACCTTCCCTGTTTTGGTCAAGTACATCTTATGGTAAATTTTGTTTTGAGGATTTTAAGCAATAGACTCAAGTTTCATTATCTGTTTGAATATCCAGAAAACGTGGATAACTCCAATTACTGATATTTTAAAATAATTGTTAAGACATTCATACACGCTGTAGTTTTCATTCATTTTTCAAAATATAGGGTGACCTTTGAGTACTAAGCTTTTTTATCGTCAAACGTTTCTTAAAAACAGTGTAAACTACCCCCGATGTGATGTCTATCAAATTTGCTATTTGTCTTAAAGTCAATCCTACATCATCAAGTATTTTTGTTGAAATTTGACAAACAGTACATAGGTGTTATAATTTTTTGTTTGCAAGGACGGTACCCATTTTTGATGCCCATTATATAATTTTTTATCATTGAAATCCACCTGCTGATTTGTCTATAAAACAGGTATAGGTTGCTGTTAATGTCACATATTTTAGTGAATATTTCTTTGGGATTTTTAACAAGTTTTACAGCAGCTTTGTTTAAGCTTTTATTTTCACTCTAGTTTACCGATTCTTTACCATTCATTTATAATGCAGTGTCTCGAAAAGCCCTTGTTTCCCAGCTTCTCACAATGAAACTATGTGATGAAAAGTGGTCACATGAACTGTTATAAATTCATTATAGATTCAATTATGAGAGAAAGCCAATTTGAATGTCATATGATATCTGTATTGTATGTCATACAATTCAGGACATTATTTATTGAACAGCCCTCGTAACTCTATAATGGAAGAGGGGATGTTTCAAAATTTTTTCCATGCATTATGTAGTTTCTCAGATTGAATTTTATCAAAGTCGGCAGTTTTCTTTTCTTAACAATAATGTGAAACTGGGAAGTGCTCTCTGAATTTTTGGGAATGAACTTTAGATCACATTTTAAACAGTTTGTGCTCTGTTGATCGT